ATTCAGTACCTTGGTCTAAATGTCATTTATATACTTTTTTAGATTCTATAGTAAATTAAGTTTCATTTGGGGGGACCATAATAAACTTGTTTGAAAGATGAAGAAAATATTTAACAAATCAAAGGTGTGCAAATTTGATATTGTTAAGCAACCCACTTAATATAGGAATGGATCCATTTACTTACTAGTTTCTTATTGCTAACAAATTACCCCAAAATTTGGCAACTTAAAGTCACACACATTTGCTATCTCGAATTTTTTATCAAAAATCTAGGAGGGCCTCTCCTGGAGGACTCTAGCCCCAGGTCTCTTGTGAGGGTGAACTCATTTGCAGGAACTGCAAGTCAGCTGGCAAATTCACACAAATGGTGGTTGGAGGAAAGGTCAAGTTCCTCAGAGTCTCCCCATACTGCTCACATAACATGGCAGTGGCTTCCCCAAAACTGGTAATGCAAGAGAGAGAATCCAACACAGAAGTCAAAGCATATATTACCTTGTTTTCCAAGTGGCATGCCATCAATTCTGCCACATCCTACTGGTCATTAAACTGACCATGACAGAATAAGGGAGGGGGGCTTACACAACGGTATCCAGGTGGGTCATCTTGGAGACTGGCCACCAGAGTTTGGAACATGAAGTTTATTGCCAGCATGTGTTTATTGCCAAGCTGAGCTTTTCCTCTGAGTCATTTAGTAATGTATGCAGCCTAGGGTGACAAGAATACCAGGGCATGGTGATTTTAAACAAGGGAGTTTACTTCATGCCACAAGAAGTCTCAGAGTTGTCAGTTCACAGCTAGTATGGGGGTCAAGGACACCATCAAGGATCCAGGCTCCTTTTGGCTTTCACTGGAGCAGCCTTAGTGATGAGAGCAGCACTTGCGAAGATCCCTGGCAGGAGACCAGGAAGCACCAGCAGCTTTCCTTTTATACCTCACTGGCCAGAATCCCACCATGAAACCTGAGCTGAAAGGCAAGACTTTACAGCAAATGAAAGCAAGCTAAACTCTACTGCTTGAGACCATTGTTCCTGTCATGTTTCCTAAGATTAGATTTTGAGTACTATATTTCTTAAGGTATATCATAAGTCAATAAATTTTTGGAGTTACATAATAACAGAAGTACAGCACCTTGCATGTCTCAGGCTTACCTTATTTTTTTCTTAACTGACTATATTACATAGTATTAGATGTTTAGGATTTCTAATAAGCATTAACATTCTACAAGCTCGTAAATGGCTTTATATTCTATTTGTATTCACTGGAAAAGAGATTTTTTCCACTACTGGGAAGTGAAAATAAGGTAATACAATAACTTTGCCATTTACTAGTTGCCTATTTTCTGGACTTGTGCTCCCAGTTTTGATTTGCGCATGAAATGCTAAATTCAGCTATGACTTGGCTCTGTGCTTTCTCTGCCCAAGTGTATGTTTCTCACCCTTTTCCCTACAGCCCTGTCCTCATATATAAATTGTTTTTCTATTCTCCTTCTTGTTTCAGAATTTTCTTTTTTAGGTAACAAATAAATATAGAGCAAGATGATTAACTATATTCCTTTTAGGAAAAAAAATGGCATAAGAAACTACTTTAATTTTGTAAGAGGCAACCCTAAAGCACACTGCATTCTGAAAATGCCAACATAGCATTTTTGTACTTTGAGAAAGAGGTCTTCAACTGTCAGGCCAAAATTGACTTTAAAATTGAAGTTGTTAAAAATACACACTTAATTTAGTAGCTTTTAATTCACAGGACTATTTCATGGGTGGGGTTTAAAGTGGTGAGTTGATTTTCACCACAGAGGAGTATACTGCCTCTGTGAAAGTCAGACTTTTTACTAAGAATAGAAATGTGGGCTTCAGGATAATTAAAAAGTGCTTTCATAATTGAAGTTCTGGTGAGGAAATGATTAAAGTTATGGCCTTACATGTTGGGTGTATACAAACTACTTTAAAACTTGGATACTGGGATGTATGGCCATAAAAGGATTGCATTAGTTGAGAAGCATATAAAATGCCAGTGATAAACCATGCTTCCATTTTTAAATGCAAATAGAAAAACTAATATTATATATTGACTTTACATGAATACTGAAGTTTGCTATGCTATTGCAAATATAGAGCAACATTTTTAAAGGGTAGTTACCCTTTAAAATAGACAATAGAAAATGTTATAAAAATGTTTGTTATTTCAGCATTGCTAAACACCTTCAATATCATTCATTAGTATCTCTAGCTTTGAATTACTAAAATTTAAAATTATTGAAAATTGTGTTAGTTATAAGAAATAGATACTGTTTCTTCCTTCAACTAAATTATTCAAAGTTAAAGAATTAGATTTTCTTTTAAAGGCTTAGCAATATTATTAGGCACTGAAATACTAGATACTTTGGAGAGTAAAATCTAGGGAAGGAAATAATAGCTTAATAATGACTTTGGGATCATATGCTTTGGGATTGCTTGAATTTGTTTTTAAGAATGTATTTATTACCTTCATAATTTAATTATAAATGATAGTTAATTTGAAAACCATGTAACATATAAGATCATTAAATAAACTAAAAAATTAAATCATACAAGAACTACCTTAATTGAAACATGAAAAGGACCTCTGTGTATGTTTCAAAACAGTTAAGACCCAGTATAAAATCACCATTTTAATATAAAACAGGAAACTTGGAGATTACATATTATTTTGTATCATTACATTTTATCTTATTATACTTTCAAAAATTTATTTGAAATTTCAAGATAGTCCAAATTTCTTCTTATTATCAGTTGACTTGTTAACAAAAAGGGCCATTATTCTCATAAGAGTAATTCTGAAGTCTTAGTAACATGCTTTTATTACCTGCCTCAGTATTCCCATTAGTTGTGGATGGATCTTGTGAAATTAAAGATAAAAATATAAATTCGAATGATTATTTTACACAAGATTACACCATTAACTTTTTATTTTAACTATTATTGATGTTGCACTATTACAAAATCAGTAATCATGAAATTTACAATCCCAGATTAAAGTTTCAAGGAATGAGAGGAAAGGAGAAATAACAAATTCCTTATCTCTAAGAAATACCCTAAAACAAAATGTAAAATGTGGGAAAAAAGACAGTAAAATAGGCAAATGTGAAGGAAAATATATGAAGAATTAGCAATAGTTTTATCATCAAATAATACAAGGCAGAAATGCATAAAATAAGAATGAAACTTATTTAAATAGCATTATTTGTAATAAAAATGTATCATCAATTTTAAAAAAGTTTAAAAAATGAATGGCTTCAGACATATTTTTGACAGGAATAGATAATATGCCAATAATAAGACCAAAGCATGGAGAGTGAAGACATTACATGTAGGAGGGAAATTGGGTAGCAGCATTAATCCATGGCAGGTAAAACAAAATAAGGAAAGTTAACAAAGTAAAAACGGAGTAAAGGTACTTGGTTGATTCCCAAAGAAGAAATTATAAAGAGCAAATTTTTACTATAATTTAAAAAGAAAGCAGAAAAATCCTTAAAAAGACAAGCCGGCCCTCCCTGGTGGCGCAGCGGGTTAAAGCACAGCACAAAGACGCTTAAGCCACTTCCGCAGGAGTTCGATTCCCGCCTGCCCCGGAGGTGACCGCATGGCTCGGCAGACCTCTCCTGACCCGCCCGCTGCTCCCCTCAGCAGTGTACTTAGTTGATCTGCCTGTTCTGCTCCCCGCTCTGTCTCTGGTGAATCCTCTCACCCTCTGCATCTCTGGCCTGTACCCCAGTTCTGTACGAATAAAAAAAAAGACAAGCCAAAAAAATACATGTGCACATATACACCTCACTCACAATTACAGGAAGTGGCCAGGTATACATTGCAAGCATTTGAGTTTTTTGATTATTGCAAAAGAATAAAAATAAAGTATTACAGTGAATTAAACCACAAATTTTACACACAATAAAAATATGAACAATCAAAACTATCATTTTTTAAGCTGCTAGTTATTCATTCTAAGTATTGAACCAATTGTTTTAGTTTTCTGTGTCAGAATAAGTGAACAGTTGATTAAAGACTTTTTGCTAATAAAGAAACAGTAATGAATAAAGTTTGAGGAAAAATAGAATCAGAAAATTACCATTTTAAGAGTCCCTAGTAAAATAATGGATGTTGGCAATTATCATCCATGATTGCTTAAAAGCATTAAGTAAAAAGTTGATGTAATTCTTTCAATGAATCAGTCTGACATCATCTGAATCCACTGATCCATTTAAGCATTCATATAAGGACAACCAGACATTACACTACTCCTAATGTGAGGCAACTGAAGTATACAGTACCACCTATAAAGAAACCTTGCCAAAAATATCTGACATTGAATTCAGTGAAGATTTTGGGTGTAACTACTAGTTGACAATACACACAGAAGATGGAGAAATATATTAAATAATGTCATGTGGCTCTAATCAGCCAAATACATTAAGAAATTCTAAAGGGAAAATAATTCAATTTATTACATGAATAAACATCATGAAGAGCAAAGGAAGAGGAATGCTATAGGTTCAAGAGACATGCCCCCCAAATGTAATGTATTTGCTTTTGTTTCGTTACTGCTGTAAATAAAGCATTTGTACATAAAAATTTTAAACATGACTGATATATATTTTTTGAAGAACGATATTTTAATAAAAGTAGGTCAAATAGGAAATATTAACTTAAAAAAACATTTAACCGATCCAGAAGAGGACAAAGGAATAAAGGGGAATATGAAATAAGCAGGTCAAATAGGAAACATTAATGTAATATTTCTCACTGATATTGTCAATCTGATATTACCTATTTGGAAAAGGCAAAGGAAATAAAATGGAAAATGAACAGAATTACTTAATATTGTGATATATAGTGAATCCTTTAGCAATAAATAGTAGAAATTACAGTATTCATATATACTATTAATTATTAATTAAAAGCTAACAATTCTCAATTCTCCAAAATCCAAAATGAAAATTTAGAGATCATTTTACAAAGAAATATGTGTAAACAGTTTGAAGAAAACTAGAGAATTTATACTAATAGACATAAAATGTGAATAGAGACAGAAACTAGTAGAGACCCTTCCACTGTTTGTAATCTGAGTCTCTAATCTGGTTCATCTAGATTGAGGAAAGGTATTGAGATTCTGACCTACCTACATATCATCTCAGATCCAAAGGCATCTGGAGTTAGCATCAGTTCTCTCTCAAGAGACAGGAGAACATACTCAGTTTCTCAAAAGAAAAGGCTAGAAGGTAAGAGGAAATGTTAGCATTGTGTGAGTTTCTTATAGCAAACATTCCTAAACAGCACTAAAGTGATTACCAATATGGAGATACTGAGCTTCTCAACTTGTAAAATGGTACTATCTGGTCAAGACCTATGTTGGCTAGAGCTCTGGACTAGAAATTTCTGGCTATAAGCATTCTCCTCCATAAATCATATTTTAAGATAAAATATTTTCTTCTTATGTTGTGATTTTTTAAAAGGGTAGGAAGTACATTTGTAAGGGGAGAAAATAGGTCTTATCTTTATTTAGCATCTAACAGCTATATTTGGGGAGAGGACAGCGGCCAATTCTGGACATTGCTAGGGGTTTGAGAAACCACTGCAACTTTTGTTAACTGGTTAAAAATAGAGGGGGAAATTGGAGAATGAAGGGTCTCAAACATAATGTTTCATCAAGACATTTGCTGAACTCTGAAAGTTGTGAGAAGCAATTGGCTAAAATCTTAACCTGAAAACTCTGAAGAACAGAAAAGAATGATCTGCAGTCTATCAATGATGATGAGCCATCAGGCTCTCAGTTCAAAGTCCAGAAGTGACATACCCTAGAAAAAGGGTGATTAGGGATAGATTGAGCCTTATCAAACAATAAACCGGCCTTAAATCAGCTAATTAGCTTAAGAAGACTAGCCCATCCTTATTGCTTAACAGAAAAAGGGTGGACCCTCTCTGGTGAAAAATGAATCACCTGAAGCTTCTCCAGCCCTTTTAACAGAAGGAAAAGTAGAATAAAAAATAAAATCTGACCTATCTAGAAGAGGATGAAGGAAGTAAAGGGAACATAAACTAACAGGTAAAATAAGAAAAAAAAAATAGAAGGAGATCAGTATAAACTCAAAAATATTAGAACTCACATTAAATAGCTAAAATAGATAAAGACTGCCAGACTGAAAATAGCAAGTACACAAAATATATGTGGTTTATAAAATTATAAACTATGTATGTAAGATTGAAAAAGATCTACAAACACTGTACAAATCAAAGCTGACATGATTGTCTTAGTAACAGACCACATTGACTTTAAGACAAACATCACTAGACATTGAAACAGACATTTGCTAATGACGAGGGTCTACCCATAAAAAGACATAATTATAAATTTGTAGGCATCATCCAAACCATAAAGGGCCTACACAGAACAGAGAAGACAGAGGAAGGGGCAATTCGTGCCTGCTTACATGGGGACACCAATCTTCTACCCTAAGCACCCCAGGCTTTCCAGCACTGGGAATAGGTTGGAAATATATCTTTGGTTCTCGGGCCTTCAAACCCCACCAACAGCTTCCTTGGGTCTTCATCTTGCAGAGAGTTAATTATCGAAGGATTTTACAGGCTCCATAATGATGTGAGAATCCTAACACAATATTAAAACACAGAGCTTTGGTTATCAAAAGTTACAATTAAGGAAAGAAAAGAGCAACATAGCAAAATAAGAACAAGAAATCGAGAGCATTTTACATTATGTCTCTCCAACAGATTCATATCTAAAATTCACTCTATACTTACTAGGACTTAACTTTTGTTAAACATGCCAGGCCTTGAGGACCATGTTGAGGATGCTGGGTTTTATTTAAGTGTAGTCAGAAACTCCTCAATTTTAAAACTTCATTTCTTATCATTCTTCTGTTCACATTTAAGCCAATTTGTTCTTTAACTCTACATCCCATGAAGTCATACACATCCCAGATGACATAAGCATCCAAGGCTTGTAGGTTGTTATTCAGCTTCCCGGACTTCCATGATCTCTTCCCATCCCAAACAGGCTTCTCTTCATTTTAGTCAAAATTACTCTACCTCTGAAAATCAAACTCCAACATTTCATTCTCAGATCATAACCTCTCACTAACCCTACTCTTCCACTATGTAACATCTAGCATGCCTTGTCCTCCATTCTTTACATTTTATTATCTGATTAGAATAAAATACACATACAATCTCACTAGAATAGAAAAATTACTATTTTCTCCATTCTTGTGTCAAGGCATATAGTCTTTCCTACACCTTTCTCCATGTGCATGCATTTGTGAAATTTTAGATACAAATAGAGAAATGCTTGTTTTGGTTACAAAAAGAATCATATGCACACATAATACCATGACTTTTTTTCACCTAAAAGTAAAAATCATGAGCAGATCTCAAGCAGCAGATAGACAAAATTCATTACTAAAATTGCTACCCATCATCCCAAGTGGTCCCCCCTGCAAAAGGGACTTTGTCTTCTGCTGCAATTAACTTGCTGACCCCAGAAAACCTCCAAGAGGGCTTGCCAGTGAAGGGAAGTGTTTCCATCTTTGCAGCTGGAAAAGAACCGCTGCTTGTGACTAAAAAAATGTGGGACTGGTATGGTTTCTCAGAGCAACTCAGCAGAGTAACAGGTTTCAGGCCCATGAGAACTGAAAGCATCGTGTCTTTCACCACTTGGTTTGCTGCGACCCAAGGATGCTGGCAAGTACTGAGTAACCACAATCATGACTAGGCAAGGAAAATTAAAACTCACTCACGGGTCTCGGAAAGAAAAATGGCCAGCAGAACAGAAACAGGAGATGCCTACTAAAGCAGAACCAAGGGAAGAAACCTATGAGAATTTTAATGAAAATATAATGGAATTACAGTTCTAAAACCAAAATTCAAACTCTAATACTTTCAAGAATTAAAAAATGATTTCCTAATTTGAAACTTAATATTCAACAGAAAAAGAGAATAACTGCCCTTGAGAACCACATTAGCATTGAGAATTGGGTGGAAGAAATACCTCACAAAAACCCAGTGAAAGATCTCCTGAGAGAAAGATAAGTTGTGTGGAGATGAGATCTAGGAGACCAAACCAAAAGGAAGGAAGGAACATGTGGAGAAGTGATAATCACATAAACAATGGAAGAAAATTTTAATATGTAAGAAAGTCATGAAACCCTGACTATGAAGGCGAAAGGGAAAATCCTGCCAGCCTGTAAATGACATGGGAAACGGGCTCTTGAAGGTGGCGGGAGCTGGAAGCAGACACGGCTCAGACACGTCAGGCCACTGGCACTGAGCCATCTTGACCCGAGTCTGGCTCACACTCCAGAAGAGCCCAATCTGTGTGCTTCTTGCTGCCCGTTTTCAGAGACTGTTAAAGTGCTCTAAGACCTAGCAAACTCCCTTTGTTGTTCTATGTCACTGGTGTCTCAGTATAACAGTCTTTGCAGCCGTCTTTTCCATCCAGTTTCTTCAAACATTACAGGTACCAATTTTCAAATGTGGTAAACACAAATTACTTTGATAAAAATTTTAAATATGAAAAGAACCTCTTCTCCAGATGGAGTAAATTATATGACCTGTGAAAGGAAATTAATGAAATGCCTATAAAGGTAGTGAGGTCACAGTTAAGAGCTGTGATACCTGCTACTTACAAGCGGTGTGGCCTTAGACAAGTTACTTATCCTGTTTGTGGTTCGGTATCTTGAAAAGTAAATGGAATCAACAGTGGTCACTCATCACTCATGTGATCAGCTATAAAGATGAAGTAAGTTAATATATTTACCACACTCACACTTTGGCACAGAGCAAGGAAGCAGTCACAGAAATTTGCTTATTGCTGAACCTGTGTTATTGCCACAGCTGCTTACAAAAGAAAACAGCATTGTACAAAGAACTTTACTCTGGAATCAGAAGACTTCAGTGTAAATGTCAACTTGATTCTTACTAGTCACAGCAGCTAATCACTCTATGCTTATATTTTTCTTCCTACCTAAAAGAAGATGAATACCTACCATTTTTCAACATCTGTCCACGTATCTACATCCACTGAGTACCTACAGGTGTTGTGCAGGGGATAAACAAGATATAGCTCTGCCCTGCAGGGACTCAGTTTAGGACCAACACTCAAAGGCCTGAACATGGTGGCTGTTTCTGAAAGTTACTGTATTTTGCTATTTCCTGTATACAGCATGAAGTGTTAGGAGTGAAGGGACCAGAGAAAGGTTATCTTTCTCATTAGAGAAAGATAAAACTTCTTGGAGAGACTGAGCTCTTTTCATAGATTGAACAGTGTAGTACACAAATTGCCAATTTGAGTGATAGTTTGAAACTTCAGTTTTCCCTTAAATAAACATTTCTCAAGCCACTACCTGAGAGAAATAACTTACTTGATCCCCTATCAATTATAACTATTCCCTTTTACAGTATCTTGTCTTGGCAAATAAGAAAGGAGATTAAGTGGAATGGTTTGTAGTGATTAATTCTATTTCATCCCAACAGTGACCTTATTCTAAAACTTGTTGGCATTAAGAGTGCTTATTTTGATCATCTCATGTGAGCTGGCTATGGAAAGGGGTTGGGAAAACTGTTCCCTTAATCATTTTGTTAAGTCAGGGGTTTTATGTCAGACAATCAAAACATAAAATGAAGACCAAAAGAGACTTGAAACCTGAATATCTACACTTCTATAATAAAACAAGGCATGCCAATACGTTGTCATCTGTTGCCATCAATTGACAGTAGCAATGACTTAAAATTCTTTATTTAAAACCTAACAGAAACTATAATGGCAAATTAATATATACTTGAAATACAAATATATTGAAAAATCTGGATGTTTTAGAAAGTATGCAATTATAGCATCATTAAAATTAATATTAATAATATTTATTTTATTGTATTTATATAGCACCATAAGATAAACAATTATATACATCACTGAAAATCATGTCTTTGGCTCAGAATTAGCCTAGATTTATTACAAATGCACTTGAGTGGTGGTCAAAGGTGGTCACAAAGAATGATTCTACGTTATGTTGTGTGTATGTGTCTGACATACAATCTGAAAACTAACCACAGTTACATGAAAATTATGCAGCAAAAGGAAAACTAATATCTACCTTTTTTCAAAGTTCAACTGAATAAAATGCATTACCTAAAATTATTTACCTAAAAATGCTAAGACTAAAAACCCACAAATCATAAATATGACAGGTTTTTATTTATTTTAGCTACTCACTTTTTGGGCTCATTATAAAAACTATTGCTTATAGAAAATAAATCCAACAAATTTATCCAAACATTGTTACATAAGAAGTTTTAAGAAACTGTAAATAATTCTTAATGCTCTCATTTTGATTCTCAGACTTTTCAAGACTATGTTGTATTTCTTTCAAACATACTTCTTGATGCTGTGCTTTCTAAATAAAAAAGAAATAAAATAATCAATAATAGCATTCATTTTGATGTAGTCATAATATATAAAATGTTTATATATACAAAGATTGGATATAACATTTAAAGTTTTAAATAACCCTAACATCATTTTTTTTGTTATTAGCTTAGGGGTCCGATTTTCTCTAAAATTCAGAATACATGCAGGTTTGATTTCTACTGTGATAAAATTTGTAGTGATAAACATTCATTCAACATATTACTACATATTTAACGCAACTGATTTAACACATGGGTTTTTTTTTCAAATTAATAATTCTTTTCCATTACATGACATATTTTAATACTAGTTTTATCATTTTTCTCTGCTTAGAAATTCTAATTTTATACCATAAGGATGATTTTGCTATTTTAAACATTGATGGAATTCTAGTTTTGAGAATATAGTATTTTTAGACCCCTTTAGAAAATAAAGAATTCTTTATTTTTCTGTACTATTTATCTGTACTATTGTACAGGTTTATTTGAAGGAAAAATTAGAAATTCAGTATAATTTTAAAAGCATACAGCTACATATAGATGGCCAAGTAGATCTTTTCACTGAGACTTTTAAACAGACAGGCTACAAATACCATCTAGCCTCCAGCTAAAATGTAGCCCTTAAGAAACCTTTCATTTTCTTCCAGTCAGGAGGAGTTCCACAAATGATTTACTGATATCTTCTGAAACTGAGGAATGTCTCCTCAAAAGAAGTGTTAGGAAACAATGTGCCAGGCTGGAAGACCCAGTCACAGAGTGAATAAAGTGAATCTTTGTGGAATATCAGTCTTATACTACAACGTGGAGGGGAAAATATATGATCAGCACACTTATAGTGAAGTAAACGGCTTTTAGGGTAATTTATAAAATTGTCAAGGCATTTCAAGTTTGAGGGAAGTTGCAGTGAAGCTAGCTGTGGAGCTCACACCTGGTCTCTGCATCTGCTCTGCCCCCAACAGGGGTCTTGGGCAGAAAACCTGAAGGATGGCTCCTATGGGCAGAGCACCCTGGAAGATGGGAAACACTTTTCAGATGTGGCCTCAGGGTGCTCACAATTTAATTAAGGCTAAGGCATGTTTACTGGGACAAAAAACATAAGCTCACTTTTCAGTAGTGTCTAAATCTATGCTTGGAATTCTAGATTTTTTTTTAACTATTTTTAAATATAAAAGGTATTTGGTTTAGTAAAACATCAGATCTTACATCTTTTTATTTGGGTGATTTTAGCTAGGTACTAGGAAATGACAGAAAAATCCACCTCGTGTCAAGTTAGGATGTTAATTTTTAAGAGACTGCAATTATATAAAGAATATCATACCTATTTTCTGCTAGCACAAATTCTGCTGGTGAATGGAGAAAAAAATCAGGAATAAAAAGAAGGTCTGTGCTAAATTAAAAGTGACAAATGTTTTGTTCTGATTAAATTGTAATGGAACTTTCAATGACAATCAAATTAAAATAATAATGCATTCCAAAAATCATTTAGCTTTTGAACCGTTCACGTTTTCAATTTTTTAGATAGACACTTGGGAATGAAAAGAAGTTTTCATGGAGTCCCCAGCTCTTGGAAAAACTAAAGTATCATCCTCTATGTCATTGTTAGGTAGTTTTCAAGCAATTTAATCATGACTAGTGCTAGCTTTCATAATATCTCATGCTAAGTGAGTATTTCATAAATATTTAGGAAAAAACACTAGAAGACTAATTAAACACAATCAATTTGGTATTCTCATTTTATGGCTAGATGAGCAGGCATTCATTTTACATGCAGATATAACAAAAGTGAATATTTACTTAACACCCACTTAAAAACTTTTAAAAATATAATGTTCATTACTCAAGACAGAGCACAAAATCTAACTCATAACAGTTTAACCTATGTTTACCTTAAAATGGAAAACTCATACCAGAGAGATAATAAGTAGTTTACATCTGTAACCTTCACTAAGCAGCTGTCAGACAAAAGCAGTATGTGGGAACAAGCAGTATGTGGGGAAAGGAGTTAAAGTTGCCGAGGAGGCAGGAGAATAATTCCTGTCAGGCATAATCCTGTCATTCCTATTTTTAATGACTTAATATTGTTTGTTATTTTTAATGCTATCAATAAAGAAAGAACCCTGATTTTCCTCACTTTGTACTTTAACCACTTAAACTAAATGACATGGTAAGAATGCTAAATGCTTATTCATTTTTTAGGAAAACACATGAAGTCATATAAATACTTACACTATTCATTTTGCAAACGAGTTGATTTTGTTCTTCATTTCTCTTTCTCAGCTCATTCTCCAGAGCTAATATTTTAATTTGTAAAGCTCTATCTCTTGATGACATTTTCTCCATTTCTGCAGAAACCTGTGATTTTCATAAAGAGTAAAACAATGAAATGACTTTCTTTAAAATATTATTTGAAGCTTGGCCCTCCCTGGTGGTGCAGCGGGTTAAAGCACTGCACTGAGAAGCTAAAGCCACTTCCACATGAGTTCGATTCCCACCTGCCCCGGAGGTGACCACATGGCGTGGCAGACCTCTCCTGACCCGCCCGCTGCTCCCCTCAGCAGTGTACTTCGTCGATGTGCCTGTTCTGCTCCCCACTCTGTCTCTGGTGAAGCCTCTCACTGCCCCTGAGCCTCTGGCCTGTAACCCAGTTCTGTATGTACAAATAAATAAAATCTTAAAAAAAAATATTATTTGAAGCCTTGACATGGTTATATTATACCTTTTTTTTCCTACAGCTATTACTTATATGCTAGACAGTTGTATTAGAAAATGTTTAATTATGCTTTTTCTTGTGGAAGCACATTTAGTATAACTATGTCTACTTAATACATGTATCTATAGATACACTTTGCAATAAAATATCTGGAAGAGTTGCATCTATTTTCTCTGCTCTGTGACTTAGGGTGGTATTTTCCCTACCACTGTATATTTATAATACACTGAGACAAGCTTTATAAACTTTATTATCATAAGGGTAGATATCTAGATAGAACAGTGGTAAAGCAGAGAAAGTTTTTATCCTGATTGCTTTCTCAGTATTTATTATAGACTTGGACACACAGAACTGGAGGCAGGAAGGTGATATACATACCACATACTCACACACAAGTGAAAACATGCACACATGTGTACATATGTGTTTTTTTTTTTTTTTTGCTCAATTCCCAAGTAGTCTGAACTAGTTTTCACAGTTTTGATTGTTTATTTTAGCAGAAAGTCTAGCTTAACTATGTTCATCAAGGATTCTGATATGTGGGATCAATCTTACAAATATGATGAAGTGGAGCCCCAAGATGATAGGAAGGTAGGTGGCAAGTTCAGTAACAAAGAGCTAGTGGGAAAGACTGTCTCTGAGTTACAATAAAACAATCCACAAAGGTTTCTTCTGCACAAATTTCAAGAGTGTTTATGAGTGAGGGATGATAGCAGCAACTGAAGCTCTAGGAGACAGAATCCTCAGGATAAAGACCCACGTCCTTTCCAGTGTCCCTCTATGTGGACAACGGTGACCATCCTGTGTGGCATTTTTCCTACGGCAATAACTAGAGACAGGCCTTTCTTCCATTCCAATAGGAGGGAAAGCAGAGGAAGGACATATTTCTGGGGACTCTGAACACTTATTTAATTTTTTCAACAATCCAATAGCTATTTTTTATTATTGTAAGGGTTTTAGAATTATTTTCTCAATGCACACATAGGCAAAAAGAAGTGTACTGTTCAATACATTGGAACTTTCAACTTAATCACTGCCCAGATAAGAGAAAACCATCCCTAAATCATGCTGAGCCAGGAGACCAGTTCATCCACCAATATCTAAGAATATAAAGAACAGAATGGACAGGCCAAATCCCTTCTGAACCTTCACGCACCACCTACACACTTCTTAAGGCCCGATCAGCAGCACACTTCCTGGCAACAATCCCTAAGTGTCCAAGAAGACTTTCAGCAGCAGCCATCTGCTACAGAACTCTGGGGTAGATGTTTCTGGGTACCTGTTGGTGTTTTAAGGTAAATGTGGAAAGCAAGACACTGGTCATCCTCATAAAGGATTTTGACTGGTAATGAAGATGATGGTAATAAAGATCATATCACCACCAAGCCCAATGGCCTGAGCTTTGGTGATCTCATCTTGGCCACCAAGGGAGAAGCTGGGGAACCTCTGAACATTTTTCAGAAGGAATTAAAGAGGATCCAGTATTTCCAAAGTCTACTTAAGTCAAATCCAGGATAAAGTCACTTCTTGTTCTCCTCTCAAAGGATGAGATGAAGCTGAGAAAGCTGGATTACATTCCAATGACTAGCAGTACACTTTACTTTATTCAATAATGTGTCCTCAAAGTCAATTAAAGTTAGCTTCCCACAGTTCCAAGGAATCAAAATATATACTGTGATATAAGAGCTACAATTTCAAGAATATAAGATTTTTATCTGACTCTGTTGAATTGCCATTTACAGACTTGGAAAAGAACATGGAAGAGAGGTTAGAGGGAAAGATGCAGTATTTGGTGTTGGGCATGTCAAGTCTGAGTCCGGAAGGGTTCTCGAGAAGTCCGTAAGCAGCAGGACACATGTACGTCTAGATTCAGAGAAGAGAGAGCTCTGGCATGGAGATACACATTCAAGTCACCGGGAAACAGACTCGCTTTTTTTGCATCATTCAATTCTACTAGGAAACTCAATATCCACATTTAACCAAACTAAAGCTTAGAGAATTAACATGTCAGTCAGGGTTTCAAGTGCCAGAGAGTCAGAACTCAAATCCAGTTTCTGCTGGACTCCAAAGTCCATCTCATGTTATTTTTGATATTACATGGTCAAATCATTTGATAAATTTAGCTCTTCTTGGACATTTTCAATGATCCCCTCAACCCTAGGTTGAACGAACCACTCTCATCGGTGTACCTTGTACCCTCCACCCTATTGCAGAATGTGCATTCTGGGTAACATTCGATTGTTCTCATAATTTAACTCCTTGCAGGAATGTGAGTGCCGAAGCCATGTCTCACTCATCTTTGCATTTCAATCAGTGCCTGAGACAGTGAGATATTATCACAGGCTAGCTAAATGGACTTTACTATAGTTTAGTTGTTGCATGAATACAACAATATTTGCCAAAAAAGAGGGAATTGTGCTTCACAGCTCACTGAGCCTAACAAAACTACAATGTTTTTATATTTTCTGTGTTTTTTTTTTTTTTCCTTTAAGGGGGAGACAACTCCTACCTTTTACCAGGCCACACCGTCATTTTGCCTACTGAAGTAACTCTGGATCAATGATATATCTGTTTAGCTCCACAAAGGAAAATTAGGTAAAGACCAAAATGTAACTGTTCTCTTACCCTGTCATCAGGATAAAACTAATAACTGAAGATTTGGCAAGCTGAGATACTGTCTGTTTAAAAAGATATCTCCTTGGTAAACTAATTAAAAAGTTTCTAAATAAAGGCCATCTGTACCTTTTGTCTTCCTTCTTCTAAAGCAGCTTCCAGCTGCCTGGCCAAAGCTGTGTATTCTGCAGATTTCTCTTTAAATTTAAGATTGCTGTGCTTAAGACATTCTTCTTGGTTTGCCAGCTTCTTTTCAAGTTCTTTATTCTCCGCATCCATCTGTTCTAATTTTCTTTTTACAGGAAACATATTTTAAAATTAGAGAGTGTTGACAAAAAATGTAACACTAATTTTAAGTCAATTTAATACTTACTGTTTAAGGTTTTCACACTTTAACTGAATAAGATAATTTTCCTCTTCCAGAGAAAGCTTTGTCATAAGGCTGTGGCTCTCATCAACCTAAAGAACAAGTTTTCTTAGTTTATTTTCTTTATCATTTTTTCTTTCTCAGTTAATTTTCCTATAGATTTCTAAGGAAATTTATCTGCTTTATCATTAGAACCATAAAGAAGAAGGTATGAATACTACCATCATTCCTACATAGAGAAACACCAAGAAACATTACACTGTTAAGACATAAGTTCTTAAATCCTGACTAAGTATAAAAAATATTCATGTTACTTCATTGAAAATCTACCACTGAAAATTTTTCTGAATGATGCCAATTCAAACATTCTTAACAATATGTTCAATACAATGCATATTGTATTAAAGAAGGGTTTTCATTTTACTAAGTAAATCTCAAGATTTTAAACTCTTAATTTCCTATTATGGATCCTTAAGGTTACTCCGAGTTTTCTCTTTCACCTAAGATAGTGACTGATACTTGAATATGTGTGATGCTGTAAATAGGTGTAAAACCCAGTGATTGCCAGAAGCAAAATAAAAACACAAATCAATCAAAGATCCACTTGACCATGTCAAGAGTATTTTTCGCATTGCTTCAAAAATTTATATTTAAATAGTTGAACAAGTTTTGAGAAGAAAATCTATAATACCAACCAGTAATCTAGATTACCTGCACAATTTGACATTTTCTAGAAAAATTTCTTCTCAGGAATCTAAAGTCATCAAAGTTTGGCTTGCATGTTTTTAAAATGGTACCTTTCAAAATTAAAATCCAAATTACATGGAAAATAGATATGAAATCATTTCAAGAATTACTTTGTAAATAAGGAAACAACACTCCCTGGACATTCTTCTTTGAACAAAATTAATTAAAAAATATTTACCAAGTGCTTACTATGAGCTAGGCTTTGAATGAGGTACCCATGAACCCTACTCTGGTAGAGTAAAAAAGTATATGAGGAAATTTTTGATCATGAACAATCCCAGTAATCTTCATGCACAATGACAATTAAATATCTAATTTTTTGTAAGGTAAATTATAGTGATTTATCTTATCCTAACATCAAAAAAATGTAAACAGTATTGTACCTTTTGTCATGCAACGAGAATTGTTTACTTGTAACAAGTCATCTAAATCAGCAATTTTAATTGCAAACTTTTCACTGTAAAATAGGGAAATGCTTGCAAAATAATATCACAGCATCTGCAGGAAACTGATATTCCATCAACTGATTTATACGGGAATTAAAAAAAAAAAAAAGCAACCCTGACGTGAGTGCCCTCAACTGGTGGAATCATTCCAAGTGTTTCTTTAACACATCTAGCAAAAGTCAGAACGAAGGTGAACACCTGGCCCTGAAGCTCCCTAACGGTGAGCGCCTGGTCTCTACATTTTCCCCGGCAGAGCTGCAGACTCTCCTGACACTCCTGAAGCCTCTGCTCAGTCGCCGTCAGGGAATCATGGACGTGCTCTAACTCCTTCATCTGAGATTCCATCTGGCCTCTCATCTGAGTTGTAGCATTAGGGAAATAAGTGCAAGAGGAAACATTCAGCATTCATATTTTTATGATCTTGAGTTCTAAATAACTGTACTATAGTAAATATGTTAGGTATAATAGTTTTAAATAATAAATTTGAGCAATTATATAAACATTAACTTAGACTCTGCTAAAAAGATAGCTCAAAGGCAGGCTGGAACTTAACAGTTTTCAAAGTTTGCTGAGCAAGTAAATACAGTCATAAAGCTTGTAGGAAGAACATTCACCTTTTTAGGAAAATGAACTCTAAGCTTGCCATTTATATTCAAGTATAAAATTTACTGATAAGGCTAGTATGTAGTTTTCTAGTTTCCAGCCATTAGCTCTAAAGTAATTGTTACTATTCTAGTCATTCAATTCTATAGCTCAGATACTTTTTTTCTTGGTAGAACTATTCTTTTATTTTTTAAAGATTTATTTATGCATACAGAAGTAGGGCACAGGCCAGAAGTGCAGGGCCAGTAAGAGGATTCATGAGAGACAGAGTGGAGAACAGAACAGGCAGATCAACAAAGTATAATGATGAGGGGAGCAGCGGGCGAGACAGGAGAGGTCTGCTGTGTCATGTGAGTCAGCTCCCTAGCTGGGATTGAACTTGAGCTGCAGTGGCTGCTAGCTTCACAGTGCTGTGCTTTAACCTGTTGTGCCACCAGGGAGGGCCCAGGAGTGAGTGTTCTTAATGGTTGTACTTCTTCTTTTATTTGCTATAAATTTTGGGCATATATATTAGTCAAAATTTTTCTTTTCTCCTTTCACTTATCCCTTTATCATCTGAACATAAGATATATTAATGATAGCTGATTTTTTAAATAAATAATACAATAGTTTATTTTACATCATTTTGTCCCTTTTTCCATCTCCATTGTAATCTCCATGGGCTATAGCTCAGATACTTTTAAATCAGATCAGCGTTGCTTCAATAAGTCCACAGTGAGGTTTACTGTATTTTGTATACTGTATCTTACACTGTATATCATTTCAAGATAGTTAATATCATCAGTCCTCAGTAGACTATAATTTGATCATAAATGTTACTAGAAACAAATCCAATTGAATCTATATTAATCTTTCTGACTCTCTCAGGTCCTCATTATGGCCCTTTTGTAAAACAGTCTTGAGAGGACCTCCCTGCTGGCGCAGCAGGTTAAAGCACTGCACTATGAAGCTAAAGCCACTTCCACATGAGTTTGATCCCCGCCTACCCAGGAGGTGACCACATGGCGCGGCAGACCTCTCCTGACCCACCCACTGCTCCCCTCAGTAGTGTACTTCATTGATCTGTCTGTTCTGCTACCAACTCTGTCTCTGGTGAATCCTCTCATTGCCCCTGCATGTCTGGCCTGTACCCCAGTTCTGTATGCAAAAATAAATATTTTTTTAAGATTTCTTTATTTATTCATAGAGAACTGGGGTACAGGCCAGAGATGCGGAGGGTGAGAGGATTCACCAGAGACAGAGTGGGGAGTAGAACAGGCAGATGATCAAAGTACACTGCTGAGGGGAGCAGCGGGCGGGTCAGGAGAGTTCTGCCTCACCATGTGGGTCTCCTCCGGGGGGAGGCAGGGATTGAACTCATGTGGAAGTGCCTTCTTAGTGTAGTGCTTTAACCCGCTGCGCCACCAGGGAGGGCCCAAAAAATAAATAAATCTTAAAAAAAAAAACAGTCTTGAGAAATTCCCAGGCTGTTTATTAAGTAAAAGTAACCAGACGTAATGGCAGTTAGGATGCTTGCAAGAAGGAAAAACCCAACTTTGACTCACTGCATGCAAGACAGGGCATACCTGGGGCTACTGTGCAATCTGGCATCTTGACCACAAAGGACAAAACTAGAATGGATGCTCTGGGTCCCCAAAAATGGGAAAACCAGAAAACTTAAAACAGCAGAAAAGAAAAAAGAAAAACTTTCATTTAAAAAAAATAAACTTTTCTGATTTAATACCAGTAAGAAACATTGTGACCTCACAGCAGCTGAAAAACACAGTCTCCTGCCCATCTGCCTGTTGAGTACAGTTTTTTAACAGGCTTCATTCAAAGTGGTGCCTGGCAGAAAATATTTGCACTAGTATGTCTCAGATTAAAAGAGACCAAAAGACACGAGACCAAAAGTCTGCTAAAATAGGTGAAAAGTGGTTCTAAGAAAAGCATAAGTTACACACGTGGTGGGCTATCTTTGTCTCTGTTGATCCGGCAGAATGCCTGCCCCATTGACTCCTCCTCACACTGGGTCTCATTCTCAATCCCAAGATACAGGGACAACTCCATTTTCCAATCTAAACATAGACAGTCACCTTCATAATAAGGTAACTGGAACTGACTGGTAACATCCCATGACCTCCCTACTGGGAGTGAATATCCTGACTTTCACTGCTTCCCTACCAGAGTAATATGAATAGACCCAAAAAAGGATGTAGTTTCATTTAAAAATATTCACAAAAACATCTTAACTTGCCAACACTGGCCTTCTTCTCTTTCTGTTGCAACAGGGTGAATAAAAGGAAATGATGCTGGGTTTTTCTAAATGGTATTATTTTTCTTCTAAAAAGGTATTTAGCAGAGGATACTTACTTTGCTTTTTTAGAAATACAGATCTACTGCACAGAAAAAGGGGTGAGATTAAAAAGGAGAGGTATTCAAGTTTACACATTTACAGATGACGAAGTTCAGTGATAAATAACCATTCTTTCATGCTAGTTAAATCTGTCTAATATCAGAAAAAAATCATACTATTTTTTCAAATATTAAGGAAAGAGTGAAAAAACATTCACACACAAACATTTCAAGCCTGTAAGAAACATTATTTTCTCAGAAAACAAACTCCTACAAAGACTGAGAACAGAAATCCTACATATAAACTAGAGAAAATGTACAAAATAAAAGAATCAGTATGATTTTCACAAAGTACAAAACACATAAATATTGTTATTATTAAAACTTCAAAATTACCTTCTCTATTTTTTTACTTTTGTCTTTTGTTATTAGTTTATTTTCACATAGCAAATTTTCACATCTGCTTTTTACCATTTCAGCTGCTTCTTGTAACTTTTGTATCTGAAAATAGAAAGAGTAACATGTATGGTTTTATTCTAGGACCATAGAATACAATGAAAAGCTAACATTTGGATTTTTATTATTAAGCAAATTATGATTTTCTTATTATTATGCTCAGTACACTTACCTAATGGGTACCACTCAACATTACTCTAATCCATAATATTTGCACAATTTATTTATCTTTCTTCACCAATACTTCCATCTGAAGATGATAGAGCATTTCATTTGCAGGCCAGTATCACTGTAAAATATGCACCTCTGGCCCAATTCCAATTATCATACCATTCCAATTATTTTATGTTTTCAGTCAGAATTAGTTCCAAAAAATAGCCGAGCACTTCATACAAGGCCCAAAGAACAGAATAACTCATGCACTGTATTCCTGCTGAGAGTAAACCTGAACAACCAGCTAGAAGGCCCAGATGACACAGTCAATGACATCTATAGTCCTCTCTCACCCCTGGATGACTATGGTAGTCTAACTTCATAGCTCCACTTTAATTTCCCATCTAAAACATAAGATGCAGCCCATTCTTACTTATCTACACTCTAACCCCTTTTAGGTATTACCCTCAGCTTATTATTCTTTAATTCAATAAACCAAGCTCTTTATTTACCAATTCATTATCTATCATTTGAGGTCCTGCATAAATCCCATCTTTCTCATGAAGTTTTCTTGAATACTAAATTTCTCAAACATAAGCTTTACTATAAATTACTGCTGATGAGTTTATTATAAATTACTGCTGAATAAGGAAGAATGTTCACCTATTTAAGAAAATGAACTCTTTAAAGCTTGCCATTTATATTCAAGTATAAATATTATTGGTAAAGCTGGTATGTAGTTTTCTAGTTTCCAGCCATTAGTTCTAAAGTAATTGCTACATTCTAGTCTTTCAATTGTATACTCTATTTCAAATGATAGTTCTGTGTCATTTTTCCATTTTTTAATATGAGCAAGCCTGAATTATATTTTATATGTTGAGAAAGAAGGGGTACTAAGTTTTAATGACTTCAGAAGGGAGTCTTTATTCTAAATTAATACCAAGGAGTATATAAGAAATGAATAGTACAATCAAGATCAACAAAGTTAAAGCTTATTATGTAAGGTTTACATTATACATATGTCACTGATTTTAGATTGACCTTTAGGAATATCTAATACTGACATACACAGGCAATGTTTGACTCAGAAGTCAGCAGAACCATCTACTGTAAAGGTATTTGGGACCTGAAGAAATAACTGGGACATATATAGCTAAACTAGTCATATAGCTATAGTACTAGTTCTACCTTTCTTTAGTTCTGCCTATTTGGATTATGGACAAATGCAGTTTTAAAAGTTGTCTAACAAATTTAATAAGCATTAAATAAAAGCAATAATCACCTGGGTTTTATACACTTCAATAAGGGTTTTCTGTTGTTTTTCTACTTCTTGCAACTCTAACAGCTCATTTTCAACAGAAACAATCTCCTCCTTCAAAGCAGCAAGTGTAGTCTAACAAGGAATACATAGATTTTATAAATCATTAGAAGTCATGTGTAGTACAGTGCTTCAGGATTATAGAAACATAACTCATTTCTCAAAATAATTATTTTTGATTGCATACAATTAGCACCGAAAATGAATAAGCTTAATTAGATATAATGTAACACACATATTCTTATAACTTTAAAAATGTACTGACCAAAAATAACTTGGAAAAATATAAGTATCATGATCCTGGATGCAAGGACTTAAAACTATTGAAATGACAGGCTTTCCTTCCCTCATTTAAAAAAAAATCATGCTTACTAGAGGAATGTGGGTTTTTAATACTGTACTTAAGAGTACAGATTCACACCTCTGTAAATGTACGTTAACCCTAGCTTTGCCCTCCATCAAAGCCCCAGTATGATGTAACAGTTTTTCCAAATCAATAAAACTACTACATTTCAACCAAAAATTGAGGGGAGAAGGAATATGAAAAATTAATTTAAAACTCATATGAAAAAATAGTGAACACTAATAAAATTTTTAAAGGAATACTAAGAGAACCTTTTATAGCCATTGCAATTAGTCTTATTAGAACACCTCACTAGATATTAATATATATTTAATATCTAAAGAAAATGACTAATTGTACTAACATAAAAATAGGGGTCAATGAAATTGAAGAAGAGAAATACAATAAAATTTTATTTAGTATATGACAAAGGTTACATTTAAATAAACAGGGAAAAATGAATCACTAAATGGTAAGACAACTATTAGGGAAAAAAAATAGATTAAGTATTGTGCCCATCCTATACTATTTTTCATTTTCTTTAAAATTCACTAAAGCTTTAACATTTTCACAAAAGATCCAACTAAAATTGTATCTGACTTAGAACAGCAACAACCCTATTAAATATAAAAATCAAAAGAAGATATTGAGAATGCTAAGTGCCTGAGATCTTACTCTTCAAGTTTTTGAGTTAACCTAGTGCAGTTTCATGGATACCACAAAAGACATGAGACTCCTGGGTCAAAGACACAGGACTTTATTCCTCACAGCCATTGTAGTAGCCAGATACTGGCATTTGTGATAAGTTTCCTATGTCCAGTTCCCATAGGGGTCACAAAAGGGTCAGAGGACAGGTGCCTACTCAGTGGGCTGCGCTACAGAGCAACAACATTGAGTTTAGGAAATAAGCATTTAGGGGATACAAGCATGCCTACCCTCTGCTAGAAGGAAGCAGGGTTATCTCCCCAAGATGTTCACTAAACATCACTCTGAAAAAAGCTCTCTAGATCACAGGTTCCCAAGATATTCAGAAATATGAGACACTCCTACACCAGCCATAAAAGGATAAAGTATGTGTATATACACACACACTATTTGACAGTCCTACCAAAAATTTAACCGGCAAACAAACACGAAAAAGCTATAATTATAACAAAACATCAATAATCTTAATACATAGATTTCTTCAAAGACATATAAAGGATAATTAGTACATAATTCAAGAAGGTGAGATGTAAGTGATCAACGAATACATGAAAAATGTTGGCTGACTATTAAAAAATGCTCTAGGCATTGAGCCAAAAATGCCTTCTCTCATGGACTTTACATATATCATGGTTAGATAGAAAAAACAAGGCAAAAACCAAGAACTAAAAGTAAAGACAGATCATACACAAAAGCAGGATAAGAAAGATGTTCTGGAGAGACACCAGAGCAGTTTCCTGAGGAAGGGACTTTTAAACAAACACCTAAAGGAAGTGTGGCTCTTTGAGGGAAAAAGATCTTTTAGAGAAACACTATTTGGGAAAAAGGTCTGGCCAGTCAGAGGAAAACTGCAAGAATACTAAGACTGCAAGAATAGGAAAAAATGAATTTATACTATTTTTAATAGAAGGGGTCACTAGGCTCTAAAAGCAATTATCAATTTCATATATCGTCTGAAACCTTAGAATTTAAAATTATTCCAAAATAATTAGAAGTAACAATATACAATATCTAGGCAATTTCATATTATAAATAACAACCTAACCATCTAAATTTTTTAAAACAAAATCCAGAGAATAAGATGCATGATTATGAATTAGGATATAAGGCATAAATTTTAACTCAATGATTTTTATAGCTTATGTAATTTAAAATTAATTCCACTATGATGTGATTAAAAACTATAGTCAATAAAATATCCTTCTAATCATTTTTCTCTGCAGGATATCAAGGAAATTAATAAAATTGCTTCCCAGATGTAATACATATTTACTCAATATTCATTAAGAGCTACATATATGTCATAGCTTTCATTTCTCTCCTCGCTATCTTTTGCATGCAAAGATGGTAGTTAAGAAAAAAATGCCCTAACTGTTAAGATTTTGGAGAGAAGTACCACTTTAAACTGAACTTTAAAAAAGAAAGGTAAACAATGAGAAAAAATAGCATTCCAAACTATAAGGACAGTAAAGTTATAGGACCAGATACTGGGAAACATAAACAAACTGCAAGAAAGAAAGAGTGATCATATTTGCCTGGAGCTCAGGAAAATTACATGGCCACACCTCCTAGTTTCCCTTGCTGACATGTAGAGCCATGTGCCTAAGTAAGCAGATGTGTCCAGAGGCATGAAATTCTCTTGAAGGGGAAAAAATGAAAAAAGAAAAAAAAAAAAGAAGAAGAATGAACACAGTGAATCTTTCACCCTCCATTTTGTTGTTTGGAACTTGGTTATAATACTAGATACTGTAATTGTTACTTCAAATTATTTTAAAGTAATTTTAAATTTTAAAGTTTCAAATGATAGCTGCAAGAGCTCCAGCAGCCACTTTGGTTTATGAGAATGAGGGTCACAATTTAAGAATGAAAGAGGAGTGCTAACTAAAAAGAAGCAAAAGTTCTTTGATATCATAGAAACTTTGAACTGCCAAATCCAACCTTGTATATAAATGTTCTTTTTTATTTCCTATCTTCTAAAAATAATAATTATGGAATTAAAAATGGTACCATCGGGCCCTCCCTGGTGGTGCAGTGGGTTAAAGCACAGCACTGAGAATCTAAAGCCACTTCCACATGAGTTCGATTCCCGCCTGCCCCGGAGGTGACCACATGGTGTGGCAGACCTCTCCTGACCCGCCCACTGCTCCCCTCAGCAGTGTACTTTGTCGATCTGCCTGTTCTGTTCCCCACTCTGTCTCTGGTGAAGCCTCTCACCACCCCTGAGCCTCTGGCCTGTACCCCAGTTCTGTATGCAGAAATAAATAAATCTTAAAAAAAAAAATGGTACCATCATCTTCAGTCAAGTGTCATTGTATGTATCTCTGATTGGTTGAGGGCTCAGTATCTTTTTTTTTTTTATTTTCCAGAAAGCATATAAACTTCTCTCCATCTTTTCTCTGGCACACATATAAACCTATCACCCCTTGGATTGATTATGTTGGAAAATTCTTTCTGGTTATTTTGCAGCCAAGAACATACTTTCTGGTTTCAAACAGACTAAGCCTGAGGTCATATCCTATCGTAACCATGACACCTAGAAATAATCTTATGCATTAAAAGTTAACATAATTTCAGATGATTCACTTAACTGCTTAAATTGAATAGTAAAAGAATTTATTTTTAAGCTGAAACAAGAAAATAGTTACTCAGCATCATAAATTCTATTTAATACTTCTCTCTAGACATTTTTAACATATATCTGTATCTAAAGTATAAATTTTAAAATATATGTGTGTGTGTGTATATATATACACAGAAAGATAGTTCTAGAAGTTAACTATTAGAGTGGTACTCTAATACTCCAAGAAGTATGAAGGATAAAGTGCTAAAAAAAATAAGTAGTTCTAAGCATGCTATTATTTGAGCTGCTTCTAGTGAAATAAGTTGTCACATTACAGACAAGCAGTACCTTTAATTTTCTATTTTCAAGACTCAGAGTTTTGTTTTCATGTTCAATTGACTGAAGTTTTGTAAGGATTTCTTCACATGAATTTTTTCCATGCTCTTCCATTTTCCTCAAGTCTTCCAAAAGATTAGTGATTTGCCTTTTAAAAATATTACATGAATGTCATAGAAATTTTTATTCAAATAACATTTTTAGTGCCCCAAGATCATTTTAGTAAAGTACATAATTTCAAAAGTTAACAGAAGTTATACAGAATGAGGGAAATGAGAAGCAATAATTTGTAAGGTTATTACTTACATATCCCTGTTTAGAAATATTAGCCTATTGAAGATGACATCAGTAATTACCCATTAATGAAAAAAGTCACATATTATCTTTGCTATTCAATAAAATATCTAAACTGTCATGCATAGGTATTGTGTTTCTGACTGTCACTCATATACCTGCACACACACAGAATTTCAAGGGACTGGTTAAATACATGTATCAAGTGAGGCATAATGTTTAGAAGTAAATAATATGCTTACTGTCAATGATAAAACTGAAGAGAACATTACAGAAGATAAAATATTTAAAAGCAAATAGGGTTCACTCTGGTGAGCTTGTGAATACTAAATTTCAAAACATAAAATTTAAAAATTTAAATTTCAAAACATAAAATATATAAAACTTTCATTTTCTTTGTTATGCATTAAAGGTACTTTAATAAAGGAACAATAAATTTTAGGGTTAGCATTTAATGCTTTCATTATAAACATTATTATCTATTCTTATACATTCTGGTTTAGCTGAGAAGCATCACTTCCATTCAAAGATAAAGTAGTATTATCATTTACGACAAGTGATAGGTAACACATATTCAAATACTAAGTACTGGCACACGATCCCCAAAATTTGAAATGGTAATACCAATATAATTTTAATGTATAATTATTTTATTGTATATTAGAGTGAGAACAGTTTTATAAAGAATTATAAAGAGCAAAAAATATTGAATCATAAAGACAACACCTTTAACACATCTAATCCAGAAGAACCAAAATACAAATCAAAGAATTCAAAATGCCTCTCACAAAAAGCAAAACTGTTTTTCTTACGTTTTCATTGTTTCAATTTGTACTTCCAATTCAGTTTTTTCTATTGCAATTTTCTCATAATGACTTTTCCAGGCATTGGATGCTGAAATTGTTTCAGACAACTTGGCTTCCTAAAAATACAAAAAGTACTCATCTTGTAATTTAATTGCACTTTGGTTTTGTTTAGGGCACTAAAAAGTATCTTTAAAACAAGGAAACACATCCTATAAAGTAATGAAAGTTATGCTACAGAAAATTTCAGCTATAATTCTGCATACAGAAAAGTTTTAAACATCAATAAGGTATTTAGATTACTATTATTTTATAACATTTTAAAGACTTGATGTAACTATTTTCAAACAATGTTTCATAACAAATGAAGATAAATGTCTCTCCATTTACTGAACTTTTCACCTTCCAGAGAGATGATAAAAACCACATCAGCCTCAGAGAAAAAAAAAAAAATCCTCAATGGCATTTATAAAAATAACTATGGAATTAATGACTTAATTCCATAGTATTTAATAAAGCGCCCTTTTTCATTTTTGTTATAAGGATGCCAATCAGTTTTGTAGTGTCACTCCTGTCAGCCTTCAAACAATTACTGTCAGCAAACAGATGGAAGTGGAAGTGACAGCTTATCTACTTTGCAATTTAAATTTTTTTTTTTTTTTTTTTAGAACTGGAGTATAGGCCAGAGGTGCAGAGGGTAAGTGGAGAGGAGAACAAGCAGATCTACTGAAACACACTGCTGAGGGGAGCAGCAGGTGAAACAGGAGAGGTCTGCTGTGCTATGTGGGTCACCTGGGCTTGAATCCAGGCCAAAGAGGTGGTAGAACTGAGACTTAAAGCCTAGGCCACCAGGGAGGACATTATCTACTTTGCATGTAAGTTACAAAGGTAGAGATTTTGGCCTGTTTTGTTCATGGCCAGGGCCTTGAGCAATAGCTGGCATATGGCAGAACGTAAAACATAACTATCAAATCTATTCTTTGCAAATCCATTTAATGATTTGTAGCCATGCCCCTGGCTATCTATATTCCACAAGAAAATAAGCTCACTGGAACGGCAATACCAATAATTAGTACCCAAAGGCCCAGAAGTAGTAAATAACAGAGTTAACATTTATTAGGTGCTTTTTTCTTTCATATACTTACTTAACAAGTACTAATTAAAAAAAAAAAAAAGATTTTCTGTTTATTTTTTCTCACAATAGTTTCGGATATATTAAGATCAATATTCTGTTTTCATATTTAAGTAAAATGAATTGTAATTCAAATCTAAGTGTGAAAACTTAGCACGAGGGACACTGTAATACATAATTAGACCCAAAACATATCCAAACTATTTGAATCAATAGCCAACACAGATAAATTGGTGGAAACCTCAGCTGAATTGGTATTAAATATGACTAACATTTACAATACCATGGCATGTGCTAAGAAGAGTATATTAAATTTTAAGCAGACTCAACATTTTCCGGCAAGCAGACTAACATCTCGTGAGAATCTTCTTTCACCTTCTAATCTTCATCTTAAATGCTCTAACGCACCCAGCCCTGCTACCTTTTCCTGATAATGGTACAGATTACCGCTGGCTTACAGACCATTAAAAACCCAGATCTGATATTCTTAGTTGATGGATCCTATGGTAGGAAATCAGGGACACATCAAGCAGTATATACTGGACAGCACAAAACTAACTCTTAGAAAGGGCACTCCGGCCTTCCCTGGTAGCGCAATGAGTTAAAGTGCAGCACTGCAAGCGAGCTGCAGCTGCTTCAGTGCGAGTTCGATCCCCAGCCCCGGAGGTGATCCACATGGCACGGAGACCTCTCCTGACCCTCCTGTTGCTCCCCTCAGATTGCACTTAAGCAATCTGTTCTGCTCCCCACTCTGTCACTGGTGAATCCTCTTGCCTCCCCTATTCCTCTCACCTGTACCCCAGTTCTGTAAGCATAAATAAATATTTTTTTAAAAAAAAGAAAAGAAAGGCGATTCTTCTAATTTAAATCTGCTCATCCAGCAGAACTACACGACCTCACTCAGGCTTGTCAACTATCCAAAGGAAAACCAATAAACATTCATACTGACAGTGGCTAGGCCTTTGGGATGGTCATGATTTGGGTATGCTATGGATATAACAAGGGTTCCTCACTTCTAGAAACCCCAATCAAAAATGGGCACCAGAAAATTCTTTGCCATTCCATTGTCTAATCAAATTACAATTATTAAACAAAGTTCATGCTAGATAAACTGAAACTATCCCACTGTGCAACCTCAATAAAGTCCCTAAGAGTGAATAAGCAGATTATTTATGACAACTTATATAAAACAAACAAATAAGACACCTAAGACACCTAAGCTTTAACACCAATGTTGGAAACAATAAGGATGAACTTAGTATCACACAAGGACTCACTGAGGTTCTTCCTGAGTCCTTAAAAATGCAATTTACGAAAAGCTCTACATTCAGCCACTCACCATGGCACAGATAAAATGACCCAAATTACAAAAAAAGTCTTAATGGGGCGACTGCTTCAAGGTTACAAAATTGGTTTATAACCAGTGTCTTGTTGTCAAGCTCATAGCCCTAGAAAGACCACTATGATCATAGATGGAACAGTCCTACCACCTACTGGATCATTTGAACACTTACAAATCAATTCCATTCAGTTGTCTACTGTGATGAGCTGTCAATATGTTCTTATAATTACTTATACAATTCCCAGAATGGATGGAAGTTCTCTATGTAAGAAGGGTGATGCCAAAACCATGTCAAAGTTGTAGAAAATGTATTTTCTTTATGGGGTAGCCCCGAGAAATGGCTAGAGATTGAGGAACTTCTTTAAATCAGACAATTAAGCAATTAAAGTGCTGCTAATAAAATGGCATGACCATTTTAAGTTGTTACTATCTTCAGCCACCTGGTAAAGTCAGACAGATAAACATACCTTAAAACTAGTGACAGCTGATTTAACACAATCAACTGAACGACCCTAACCCAAAATTCTACCACAGATTTTGATTAACACCTATGGGGAAGTATAAATTCATGTCTTAAAAATAGGACCAGGAAGAACTATACCTTTAATAATAGAGCCACACATATCTACTTTACACATGAGTTCTAATATGATATAACACTGTACAACTTCACTGCATTATACCATTATAAGTTCTTGTTTATAGATGGATAAAACTTTACACAACTTAGAACCTGTAGGATGGTCTTCTGGAAACAATACCTAGGAAAAACTGCCCTTGAATCTCTTTTGAAGGGCCCATACCAGCTTCTCCTCACAACCAAAATGGTAGCAGCCAGATTTCAGGGACACGAACCTTGGGTACAAAGTAAAGTACTACTTCAATTTTGTCAGTAGGACAATTAAAGTTAGAACTGACCAAGGAAGTTCGTCCCAGAAACAGACACCCTGTGGTGAATAGCTCCTCTAAGAGCAAGGATCTGCAGATCCATGTGAAATCTTTTTTAAAGATTTACTCACATTTATTTATTCATGCAAGAACTGGGGTGTAGGCCAGAGGTGCAGGGGATGAGACGATTCACCAAAGAAAGAGTGGGAACAAAACAGGTAGACCTATTGAAATACCCTGCTGAGGGGAGCACTGGGCAAGACAGGAGAGGTCTGCTGCACCATGTTGGTCACCGGGACCAATTTCATGCCTCGGTGGCTGGTGATAGCTTAATAGCGCTGAGACTTTAACTCCTGGTCCACCTCCAATGTGAAATCTTTTCCTGTTTGTCTATTTGCTGTCTTTTTTTTCTCTCTATTGATGCCCAGGAAGACAGCACTAAATTAGGAATTCACAAAAAACAGCTACTGTAGGAAAGTTAATTAAGTTTAGCATGACAAAACCAAAATCAGAACACGAAAGCAGAGAGACCCATTATACACCCTAAAAATAATTTCACTAGAATCCCACTGCATGTCTAAATTGTTGCACTTTATAAAGTTAAAATACTACATCCACATATCCTTGTTCTTTGCTTCAATTAAACCCAAGCCTGAGCTGGGAAAACGAGATCCACTGAGATCCACATATAAAAGATACTGCAGTTCAGATACCTGAGCTCATTTGTAAGTTTGCTAGATGGCCTTTCAATGTGATAACATTTGAGTCTTGGTTGAATGCTAATAATACCTTTATAATGACCAATGGGCTCATAAATACTAATGCTTATTAAGAACCCTTTGGATTTCTTCTGTCTACATCTTTACAAGTGGAGGGTTTGCCAACAGTCCCTATTCTTGAGTTACTCACTGTCTTGACAGCTGAGGGATGAAATGACACTGTATTCTGGGTGTATTTATTGATCCATTGTCTCTTTTTAATAACTCACAAACTCAAAACTGACCTACTCTTTTGAAATTATACTATTTATATTTATACTATACCAGAAGCCTACATCTGGATGGGTATAATTTGAATTGCCCCTTCTTTGGTTTGAATTTAGTACAAATAAGCATATAATTAGAAAGTTATTCTTAACTCTGGCAACCACTGCTGAGACTATTACTAAGCCCCTGGTTATACAACACAATTCCCTAGACTCTTGCTAAGCTGGTTTTAGATAATGGAACTGTTTTAGATTATGTGTTGGCTGAACAAGAAGTCTGTGTCATAGCAAATTCCTCCTCCTGTATCCAGATAAATACCTTTGGTATTGGAGAAACTCAAATACCAGAAAGTTATAGAAAGTTGCTTGCCTAAAACAGGGTGATACCTCACCAGGGATTTTTATTTTATTTGTTTGATATCAATTGGTTTGACTCCTGGGGAGCCTAGCTGAATACCCTTCAGTTATTTGGTACCATCCTCCTAACAGGCATCATCATAATTTCCCTGGTATGCTATGCTCCCTCAAGGTTCTAAATGCATATTTGAAGTCATCAGCTGCAGATGTGAAGGTCTCACAGCATTTGGAGAGACAGAAACATGATAAACAATGAAATAAACAGCAAACAAAATTTTTCCAATCTGACATCATCATCTATGAGTTTCATGATAAAAGCGCTTGAACTTTACAGACTAGATTGTCAGTAATATCACATCATTTTGGAAATCTTTCAAGTACAGAAAGGATGGCACAGACAGAGAAGCTGTTAAATGAATTAAAAAAGGAGGCCAGGCCCTCCCTGGTGCTACAGCGGGTTAAAGCACAGGACTGAGAAGCTGAAGCCACTTCAGCATGAGTTCGATCCCCGCCTGCCCCGAACCACATGGCGTGGCAGACCTCTCCTGACCCGCCCGCTGCTCCCCTCAGCAGTGTACTTCGTCCATCTGCCTGTTCTGCTCCCCACTCTGTCTCTGGTGAAGCCTCTCGCCGCCCCTGCACCTCTGGCCTGTACCCCAGTTCTGTATGCATAAATAAATAAATCTTAAAGAAAAAAAAAGTCTTAAAAAAAAAAAAGCAGCATGGCCAGGGGCTGTGCTCAAATTTTTTTAATTTGCATATACATTTACATATACACATAAATCCACATGAGATAGACAGTATGTTACCCCTACTTCATAGATAAGCTTAGGAAGGTTAAATCCCTTAATCACTGTCACAAATTTTATAAGTACAGTAGGCTTCCTATATAATCCCAAGAATGCTAAGGACCCAATTAGATTGTTTTTACCACTCAGTATTTTCCAACATTTAAACAGGTCTGCAACTGTCTAGATTTTGTACTAGTCCTCAAATGTTTCATCTTGTTAAATTCTTCTGGATGTAGGTTATATATGAGAGGCTTAAAATGTTAACAATTAAACTTATAAAATATTAAGTTGTTCTGTTTACACAAGCTTTTAAGCAAATCTGTTTTCTTTTCCAAAAGCAATAATTTTATAAGCCTTAACATAAGTCCTTAAGAGATGTCCTTAATTAGGAAATAAAAATAAATATTTTTTTAATTGGTAACTGAGTAAATAACTCACCAAAACAACAAAGCACTAAGTCCATCTTTCAACTTAATATTATGCCCAGAGATAACTTACACATGGTGTGTTTACGTCAGCGCATGGTTTCAAACGCATTACAGAGTTTAAATGAAGTGAAATCTGAATGAAGTCATATGGACTAATAACATAAATCAGGATTCTCAAACTGGTGTTCCTCAGAACCAGTTCCAACAGTTGCTTTGTGGGTAAAAAGAAGAGTCTGTGGTTAAATAAATGGTGGTGGGAAATTCTGAGTGAAATACCCTTGGAGACAAAGCTTTATTGAATGCCTTCTCAGGGCGTTTAACATGCTAATATACATTATAAATTTCCTGAGCAGAATATGGTGAAGTGTTACATAGAAGCTTTTAGGAAAACTTAACATTTTCTTTAAGGAAAGTTCGCAAGAAAATGCATGATATAACTCAGTATGCATATTAAATATTTTGGGTAATCTTTCAAAATAAAGACAAAGGCAAAAAAACTAGTGTCATGTTTTTCTTATATCAACAGCATTAAAAATAAAAGTATTATATTAAGCATCATAACATTAATCACATAAATTGAGCGCAGTAGAGTTCTTTAGAAAAAATATATACACTTACTTGATCTCTAATTTGGGCAGTAAGATTTTCCATGTCTCCAGTAAAATGCGCAAGCCTTTGTTTATAAATTTTAGATGCCTTTTTTAGAGCTATAGCTTTTTGCTTACTTGATTCTTGCATTGCTACAGCTTCATACTTATTTTTTCTCACTTGTAAGTTCCATTCAGCTATCTTGCTTTCTAAACTCTAAAAAAACAGAAAGCAGCACTTAAGTCATTTTAGAATATCAATGTTTATATACACATTGTAAAGCTAGGTAAATAATTTTCCAGTTTTTATCAAAATAACTTACCATAAGATTAAAACCGAGTAAAACAGTGATTTCAACAATGTTTATTATTAGCACAAATAGAAATTATATAAGCATATATAAAATTAATGCTATTTATTAACAATTTTGGTGATTATAGTACACCAATTTTCTAAAAATTTTGTGATTAAACCTTAAAAAAATTTCAGATCAATAATATTAACAGAGTACTAACTGCAAATAATGAAGCCTCCCTGGTGGCCCGGATGCAGCACTGCAAGGCAACAGCAGCCACCTCAGTGCAAGTTCCATCTCCCGCCCCTGAGGTGACCCCCATGGTGCGGCAGACTTCTCCTGACACATCCGCTGCTCCCCTCAGCAGTGTACTTCATCGATCAGCCTGTTCTGCTCCCTACTCTGTCTCTGGTGACGCCTCTCACAGCCCCTGTACCTCTGACCTGTACCCCAGTTCTGTATGCATAAATAAATGAATCTTTAAAAAAAAGTAATGGTGCTGAAGCCAATTTGAACAATAGATACACAAAGCTCAAATGAATTGATGAGTCTCCAGAAAAATTAGGCCTCACTAACTCGAGAGACATACGGAAGATATAATAAAAATCTATAGATCATAAAGGATATTGAGGAGAGAGACAGATTTATTTATCAAATTTTAATTTACTAGAATTAAGGGGCATGCTTTGATCAAGTTAAATAAAAGTACTATTTCACCAAATGAGTAGTATTTGTTAAAGTTATTATTTGAAGAACAATGAAGTTTAGATGAATGAGTAACTAACTATTGGATCTGTAATAACAGTAAAGAAAAAGAGAGATTTAAGGGCAAATTTCTACCCCTGAATTAGATGGTACTAAATGGTATGGTGTTTCACTGACATGTCTTTTGGGGACATAACTAGGTTATAGTAGGTTGGGTAGATCATCGATATCATTTAGTATAATAACTAACATAGTTTCACTGCAAATTTTATGACCCTGTATTAAAATTATCTATGCAGCAAAAGCTTGAAATTGTAAAGCTTTTGTTTTGTTGTTTAACCCTGAACAGAACTTATATTCTTATAGAATTTAAGCTTTGGACTCCCCTTAATTGGACATAATTTTATTTAAATGAAACCAGAGAGAAGTCATAGTAAAAAAAGCTATAGCTGTCAATTTAACCCTGTCATCAACAGAAACTGCTTCTGCTAAAATTGCATTAAGTACATCTTTTGAAAGATTTGATCTTTTTGAAAATGATTAGAAAGACCAAGTCTAAACAAAACATTCTTTCATTGGTTCTAAAAGTTATATCATAAGTTAAAAAGTTCCATGAATTTTTTAAATAAATAATTGGGAAAAATCAAATAAGAATAGCACAGTAAGTTTACTTAAGAGAAAGGAAGACCCAGAAGTGCTGTTGTTATTCCTCCAAAAAACCACAGGGTGGTGTCATCATCACACAATGAAAAACTACACTTTCAATAAAAGAGCTTTTCAAACACCAAAGGTAAACATTTTTGGAACAAGCTTTGTCAAAACTTTCTCAACAGACTTATCAAATCCCACAACTAAGTACCAGTAGGGAGTGCAATGAAATTATCTGATTATTTTTGTAACTTCAAATAAGCCTTTACAGTCATTTGCCACATGGCTTATATTAATGGCATTTAAAGTCAACTATTTGTCTCCTAAGGAAATATACATGCTGCATATTATAAAACCAATTGCTCTTGGTCTTTTGTAAAAAGCAAAATTATTTCAAATCTAGTTTTTATGTTATGAAGATATAGTTAGAGAAATCAGGATGGTTCTCAGAGAACTACAATGTAATCTTAATTTTTAAAGTCCCAACAGAGTTTACTCCGTAATACTAAAAAACTGAGACTTACATTGCCAGCCTGTTAAGTAAACGTAAATTAAATTCTAGCCCCCAATTACATAATGCCTTAAATTCCAAGCTGTGTTAGAAGGGAGTGTAGAAAAATCAGTAACCTAATAAAACTTTCTCATAATCATTACTAAGCAACAGCATTTTATAAAGGAATTTGAACTCTGTGTGTTAGACAAAGAATGTCTTGGCAAAATCTTAGGATCTTAACCTTATATTGCTTCTCCAAATTACATGGATATAAAAAGGAACTGTTAAACATCACTTCAAAAAATGTTAATTAATATTTTCACTTTTAAATTGTATAGGATATATCTTTTTTAATTCCTGGTTGCTATTTGAGGGCATAATTAAGAACTGTGGCAAATAAATTGTAGTAGCTGATTATTAGTCATATGTATTCCCCTGTATTTACCAAATAGACTAACACAATACCAAGTCTGGCTCCCTACAGCACCCTAGGATAAGAATGCAAAAGATACAGGCATCTAAGGGGAATTTACTGTTTCAAAAGCCCAGGCAGGAGCACAAAGAACAAAATTTATATCGTTCATAGACACTAATGTCCCTAGGTAGCCAAAAGGTTTTCGTCTTTGAAGAAAAAAAAAAAACAAAACACCCAACCCCAGTTCAGTATGGAAACATGTACTACAGATTTTAGTCATCTCCCAAATTCTGAAGTGCAAAAACAAACAAATTTAACACAGAAGTCCTCACACTCATTGAGTCTTCATACACTTCTCTTCTGAAAGTGGGAAAAGGCAAAAATGACAATCTAGTCAGCTAGTGCCATACCTTTGCAAGTTCAAGCTCTTATCTCAAAGGGAGAGCATTTCCCCTAAGATATACTGCTAAATATATATGTATAATATATATGTTATCTATCTATATCTAGTTGACACATACACACATATCAATAAGATAACTAGATTATCTAAGCAACAAATCTAGATTAAGCTGATTTTAAGTTATTATAGTTAGTAGAAACACAAAAGTAATAAACCTGCTATGACCGATTATTATGTTTGAGAATATGCACGTAAGTATAGTATGGGGAAATGTCTGAAATAACACAAACCAAAATGTTAACAATAGTCTCAGTGTTTTAAAGTCATTTTAATTTTCTTCTTTGTGTTTTACAAGTTTTCGGCAGTAAACATACATTGATTATATAATGGGGGCGATTTTTAAAGTAATTCAAGCCCTTCAAATTTTGCCTAGGTTAGTACTGAAAAAGAGATGGAATTTTTATTTTGGGGCTCAGAATCAAATCTTTAGAAGCAGAAATCCTAAGATTAAGATTTGTCACATGTACATACTTGAATTCTTTCAAAAACCACAAAATTCCAGAATTAGGAAAAGAACCTCTCACAAATTTTATCCTTTAAACTACAAAATGGATGAGTATTTGTAACCTTTATGTGGTCTTTTAACTTAGCGTTCTCTGCTTCCTTTTTATGAATTTGGAGCTGCAGCCGTTCATGTACTACCTGTACAGACTGTGAGAAACGATTTGCTTTCAGAGCATTTGCCTAAAACAGAAAAGAAACCAAAAAAGTGTTATTTGATTTCCCTACAATTTTAACTTTACTCCTATTTAGACATGATTTTAAAAGTTGGTCAAGAGACTTAATAGCATTTTACATAAGCATGACTCTTACTATTACAAATGTATTTTATATAAACCCTATAGGGATATGTTCTCCTCCCCTTATTTATTTAATGGTTCCTGACAATTATTTTTTCAAAATTCCTATCTATCTTCATTGTAGAATTAAGAATATATCTAAAATGCTTCTACAAACAACAGCATTTCTGAATTAGTATACTCAAGTTAAAATGTAGCACAAATTTACACAGAATTCCCAATATAGAATCAATTATGCCAATGATCCTACAGAAACACCACAAAAATATTAACATTTGTATATTTAGTATACAAACCTGAGTAATATTTACATAATCTAAAAACCTGTCTTTCTGAGGATATCCTCAGGAGGTCAGGATAAAAAGAGATAATAACTATTAAGAAACTATATTAAGTTCAAAACTGGCTTACCTTTTCATTCTGAAACAAACAAGAAAGTTCTTGGATATAGGTCTCCTTTTCAAGTATCATCTTTTTAAGATTCTTTAGCAAATATAAATGAAGAATTAGAAATATCACAAATTAAATAGTATTAACCGATTTAATAAAAAGCAAGCAGCACACACACACATACACACAAAAGAAAAACAGACACAAAGTTTTAAGACTTACAGCATTTTCGCTTTCATTATCAGTTAGCTTCTCTAGCATATTGCATAACCCATCCCCTACCTGTGAAGAAAAGATGTTATAATTCAATGTTCACAGATTCCACTTCTCCACATCAAAGGGTAGAAAGTATATAAAAAAATTACTTTTGTAATTAATATAGACAATTACATGCACCTCATATTTTTAAAAATATTTACAATCAGAGTGATTTTTTGATGGCGTCCCTGAATCATTTTGCCCACAATTATCTCATTTAGTAACAGAATTCTGTCTAGCCATTTTAAATGCCAACAATGAATGTTTACTCATTTTGAGGGATAAACCTCTGCTTCAGAATGTGAAAACGTTATTAATTCTTTTGCTCAATATCATATATAATATATAAAAAGTATATAATACAAATCTCACAATTTCAAAGGCTTCATGGACTTCCTGAAGCTCACTCGTCTTCAGACTCTGCTAGGGAATACAACGGAAAGCTGCTGCATATATTTGTTCTCATTTCTCTTGTGTATATACAACTTATAAATGAATAAAGCACACAATAGCTTTATTCCTAACAGTCAGAAAACAGAAGCAACTCAAATGTCCATCAACTGAGACCTGGGTAAGTAAAAGTGGTACGTACACCCATACAACAAATAGTCCTCAGCAATGGAGAGAAACGAAGTACTAACATTTGCTGCAATGCAGACAAACCCTGAAATATGCTAAATGAAAGAAGGCATTTATGAACAACCACATGATTTCATTTATGTGAAATGTCCCGAAAGGCATAATCAGAGACAGAAATTAGGTAATAGGCTAAGGAAGTGTGGGTGGGGATGGCAGATGAACATATAAAGGGCTTGGGATTTCTTCATGTGGTGATGAAAATGATCTAAAATTGATTCTGGGAATGGTCCCACATTTCTGTGAATATACTAAAAATGACTTAATTGTACATTTCAAATGGGTGAATTACATGAGATGTAGGGATAATTCAATAAAACTGTCACAAAAATATGTGAATGTATAATGCCAATATAACAACAGTTTAAATATTAAGAGTATTTTACTAACATCAGTTGAATGAAGTATAACAAGTAATGAAAGATTTTTGAGATAAAAATAAAAATACATTTTTATAAAGCATCATTTTCATGTAGAATTATTTGAGATATTAAAAAAAGTAAGGGTTAGCTTAGTGATTGCTAATTTAAACAAATATTTAAGACAAAACAAATATTTAAAATTTTCATTATTTTAATTTCTAAAATAATTAATATATAAAACAACATTTGAGAATATACCCTTCAAGTATGAAATGTTACTTTTAAATTTGGGTTTAGAGCTCCTTACTTGTTGGTAGCCTGTCTCTCTAAGATGTTCCAAAGCTTGTTTCACACGTGTGAAAGTGTCTAATTCTTTTGTCAATATTTCCTTCTGTTTAGAAATCTTCCAATTGGATACAAATAGATTAGCCTGACAAGATATAAGAATCGCACACATTTTTAAGACATAGCATTAACACACTGTAAAATATATAAATGTTGCTAAAGAATACTTTTTCTTAGTAACAAATTGTTCTTTTGTATAGTGACAAAATTTATACAGTAAATTTTGATAAGTTTATTCATTGTAAATATGATAGTACACAGTAGAATAAAGTGAAGTGAAATCAAAATAAATAACAGTTTAAACCTTAAATAACCACAGGCATTTATTTTAATAAAATTAGTAGAATATAATCTATTTTTTGCCCCTCACTCAAATGTTAGCATACTGATGTTTTAGAATACAATGTTCTAGTCCACATAACACTATAGAAAATATGCTGGTATATATTGTTTATCTCTCAGAATATTTTCATTTTGGCTGACTCTAGTTCAATTCCAGGTAAGTCAAGTCCCAAAGTATACAATGTCTAGCTTCAGCTCTTACCAGGCACATGCTAACTTTATCTTTTAAGAATTGCAATTAATGACATAGGAACAGAAAATGTTGATTAGCCTAAGTTTCTGGTGTCAAATATCAACACATGAGTAGAACTACTTTAAGATATGAGATCTTATTAATGCATTCTGGTATTCTTTTTATTTTGTTCACAGGTCAAATACTCACATTTTCAGAACTAATTTCTTCAATGGTTTCCTTAAATAGTGGCAAAAGTAATTCTACAGAACAGGTTGCCAACTCAGCTTCCTTATATGTTGCTTCCAATTCACTTTTTTCATTAAGGATGTCCTGTTTTAGACTAATTACATATACATAAATACAATTTAAGTTAAATCTATTACATAGCCATACTTTGTATGCAAATATAGCACAGCCTGACTGAATAGGAGTTCCATAAATTGTTCTGTAAAATGTAACAGTATAGTATCATTGAAAGTGTATAATTTTTTATACTTCTATGTTTTTTCAATATTTACTGTACTTGAAAGGCAATTTTTAAGATGTTAAAATATATAAAACACATAGACCACCACTAGCATTGTTTCACTGTGCTTCTTTTTATGCAATATCCCTTGTCTGGTATTGTCTTTACTTCACTTCCTTCTTCCTTAACTCCAAACCAAAAAGATTTGGACCTTCTCCCCAAACCCCTTCTTAAAATTTATTTGTTCTTCATAAAAAAAAAATTCCTCCAGAAGGATGAATAATTATCTAGATACTTTGTACTACTTTATCACTGAGAGAGAATCCTGACCTGTGTTCCTTGCACATATCTGACACTTTCATAATGGGTTCCATTACCTTGAAGAATATCCCAGAGATACAATATGGAATTTTTTTAACTGATTAGGACAAAAGGTCATCAAGAGATGTTGAGGGAGTTAGTGACTAGGAATGCTTAGTAACATTCCAGAAAATCTAGTGTAAGCTTGCTATATATTACAATTAAGAAGAGTTCAGCACCAGTAAATATTGTTTCATGTAAAGATGTTCTAAGAAATGCCTCCTCATTTCTTAATACAAAGGACAAATTGGCATCAATGTACTAATTGGAATTTGAACATAAAGAATATTTGAAAATACATTAACCTGATTTATTTTACTCACAATTGATTTTTATATAAGCACAGGGTTGATTAGATAAAAATCTATATATAATTATTCTAAAGGCAGTTTTCAATATTTATAAATAAAATCCCCACTGATAAGAAAGCACTGTGCGTTTCTTTAAGTGGCAGCTTTTTTGTCTTTCTCTATGGAACATAATATTCTGGTTCTTTAACAAGTGATGGCATTTTAGACACTATGGTGAAAAAGTGGATTGTATCCTTCTGTACCACAGGCTTAAATGATAGGCCTAAGTAGATGCCCCTAAGAAGATGACCTTATAAAATGACACCAGTCCTAGGACTGAAGCCAGGAGTGATTACATATTATCAACTACATTTTCATTAGTAATAGTTATGTTGGAAGTTGACACCATTAACAGTGACAATAAAGGTATTGTTAAGATTGTCACATAGGGAACAAAGGGTTATATAAATAACAAGTATTCCCCATACTAAAGATACAAAATATGGCAAGTATTTGTTATAGAGCAATATACAAGTGAATTAAAACTAACAATCTACATTTCCATTATCCTATAGCATAGGATACATATGTTCATTTATCTTACTTGAAAAGCTTTCTACTTTACAAATTCTAACTAGGTTAGGTTTTCATTTTCAGTTGTTTTCACTAAGATACCAAAAAAACTAGCCAACTTATGCTGAATGACTACTTTTGTAATCAAATTAAACAAGTATATGAATTACTAGGTAAGTAATATCTTGTTGAAAGAATGCTGTACTTGATTTAAAAAATTTACAATATGAACAAAACAAGAAACCCTGAAATCAGAAGATTAGATATCCCATGATAATACTGAGAATACCAGTTGAGATGACTTTCACTGGCATGCTGTGGTAAATTTTCTTTCTCTGCATTATTTTTAAAATGATAAAATAGTTCTTCTGATTGACTGCCATTGTCTGAAGTTTTCTCCATTAAGTTCAGTTAACAGATTTATAGGTGACTTCACAACTTCAAAAAAAACCTGAAAAAAATATTTTAGTTATTAAACTTCATTTAATAAGGATTCTTTTTTTCTGTTATTACCCTATCACACAGCATAAAGACCCTAAGGAATAATATTTCACAGACAAAACTGAAACTGTAACTACTACTCATTCTATATTCATTCTATATTCATTCTAGGTAGTATCAAAACTGTATAGCATCTCTATTCAACAACTGAGAATTTCCATACAGTTACCATAAAGCCTGCCTTTTTTTTTTTTTTTTAAAGATTTATTTACTTGTGCAAACAGAACTGGGATACAGGCCAGAGGTGTAAGAGTGGTGAGAGGATTCACCAGACATAGAGAGGAGAGCAGAACAGGCCGACTGATGACGAACACTGCTGAGGGAAGCAGCGGACGGGTCAGGAGAGGTCTGTGGTGCCATGTGGTCACCTCCAGCGCAGGCAAGGTTCCAACTCATGCTGAAGTGGCTTTAGCTTCTCAGTGCTGTGCTTTAACCCGCTACGCCACCAGGGAGGACCTATTCATGTATTTCTTAAAGTATCATACTATTATCTTAATTCAAACTAGAAAATTGATATAAACACCAGATGTTAACTATGGTCCTGTACATACCTAAAATAGTAGATATTAAACATATACTTGGCTACAAAGATATGTTTGTTTAGAATATAGACTTTTCATTAAGATTAAAAAAAAAACTAGCTAAATTCCCAAAGTAGGCTATTTTTTGGTGATAATGAATAGAGAGATGGCACTACATCTAAAATTTGACTGAACAATCTAATTGCTTTCACTTAGATTTGGAAAAGTCTCTTAAAAATGTGAATATTTATGCATTGCTTCAAAATTGTCCCAATTTAAGTAATGAGTTTTTTTAAAAAAGTTTGACTGTGTATTCAAAACTCTAATATATAGCAATATCGCCCTGACTTCATGTTATAGCTATATAAAATCAAATGTTATTGTTTTTTTTTCATTTTATCTGAGATACTTTGCCTCTTTATAATTCACTTTAACATTTCTGCATCATAAAATATACTCAAAAAATTTTCAAAACTCTAAGTAGCTATGAAACTACAAATTCAAAGTTATTTAGGCTATTTAACTACCAATTCAAGAAATCTTCCAATGTTTCTGTAAAAATGTATTTATTTTTGGTTCTATATACTACAGGACAACTATTTAGGTCATAAGCCAATGAAAATCAAGCTTGTATTTTTTAAACACTAGTGACTCATATCCAAAGGAATTGCTGAATAATCTACAAATAGCCTAAGATGGCCTACTTGAATACTACAAACATGTAATATCTCTTCTCAGGACATAACAATATTTGGGGCTATCTACAGTATAGAAATTTAAAAATACACAAAATTAAATAAAGACCCAAATGAAGGGTAACAAGAGTGTGCTCTAAGGAAGACACTGCAAATAGAACTATCATCTACTGATTTCCTCAAGTTGTAAACGTTATCCCTTTCAGAGAGGAATTGGTATTTGCCTTTCATGAGCTCATTTGTTTAAATATTCATCTCTCTGTATATTGGAGTATTAAAACATGTTTTGTTTTAATTGGAATCCTCAGCCCTTATAAATCTTATAAAAGCTAAGAAATAATTAAAGGCTTAAAAAAAAATCAAGGCTTAAGCGTAGTTAATGAATATGATGAGTAAAATTGGTGGCTTTTTAATTACTCACTGCTTGAGTCATCAATGAGAAATTATTATAATGAGAAATCATTATAATGACTCCTATATTTGGAATAAAATTTTAAAGCTCAATGTAGTATGATAGGCATCATCAACTTGTAGAAACATTTTTATCAGATTCTCTTTGTATTAATGCTTTAAATGAACTCTTTTTTTTTTTTAAGATTTATTTATTTATGCATACAGAGCTGGGGTACAGGCCAGAGGCTCAGGGGCGGTGAGAGGCTTCACCAGAGACAGAGTGGGGAGCAGAACAGGCAGATCGACGAAGTACACTGCTGAGGGGAGCAGCGGGCGGGTCAGGAGAGGTCTGCCACGCCATGTGGTCACCTCCGGGGCAGGCGGGAATCGAACTCATGCGAAAGTGGCTTTAGCTTCTCAGTGCAGTGCTTTAACCCGCTGCGCCACCAGGGAGGGCCTAAATGAGCTCTTTACTTTGCTCTCTGGGCTACTGGAAGATACACATATTTATAATTTTTCTAAAAATTTTACTACAGGATAAATCACACCACTCTTTTCTGTGTTATCACCTATAATATCAACTGTCTTACCTCAAAGAGTAAACAAAATTAACACATGGTAAAAATAGGAATATTAGAATGACTCATAAGCTAACACTAAAATGTTATCTTCTTTACTGATCCCCTAAAACATGAAGCAGAGGCCCACATAAATCTCAGATATTTGCACAAAAATGATTAACACTGGCATTCTTACAATGCAAAAGTATTTTCTAGAACAAAGTTTACTCAGAGGTTCCACTAATTTTGGTTGTGAGAAAACTAAAGATGTATGTGTGCAGAAGAACAATGTAATCATTGTCTTTGGCACAAAACAAAATTCTACCTTTACAAAAATGTTATATTTTAGTGCACTGAATGAATTCTTGCATGTTGAAACAGTCCAGTCACAAGTCAGTTTTTCAACTATACAGAATAAACTGACAGTTGAAAACATATTACACTTCTACTCAATTTGTTAGTGTTAAAAAAAAAGATTATTCAGCATACAACTGCTAAAAGTTAGCAATTTTTAAATATTTTAAATATTTAAAGAATTAAATTTCCCATAAATGTGTTTAGTAGTTCCCTAACAAAAAGATGTGTCTTAAAGATTTTTCCAAAACTGGGCACATGTTTATGCTAACTCAGCCACAATCACTAAACTATTCTGTTTTGGTCAACAATAAATATTTGAGGAATAGCTATTCAGGGACCACACTGGCCAGTCACAGAAGAGGAAGATAGCACACACTCTCTAACCATCCTTAGTACCTGGGTTGTTCTAAGGAAGCTAACCAGCTTAATATGAGCAGATAAATGACTTAAAATTAATCTCCCTGAACTGAAAAGTATCTGAATCTTCCATGTTTTAGTTTGGTTTGCTAAACATTCATTCTTGAGAAACTAGTTCCCTCTGGCTTCAAACAAAAGTACTAGTATCTATTGAAAAAATGCATCAGGAAATAGTCAATAAGAAAAAAATGAGTACATACAGGAATGCTATTTGTTTCTCTCACTAACCTAGACACTAGCTAAAAGTTTACTAATAGAATAATTATATTGCCTTTTAAAAATGGATAGGAAATTTAGAAATAGGCAACAAGAGTAAAATGCAGAGGTGAAAAAAGATTCTATGAGAAAAAAGCTATATTGGAAAAAACGTTTTCAAATACAGAAAGGCTAAAGATAAATATTTAGCTGGTGTGTCTCTAATGAATAACGACAAAAGGAAATTTTAAAATGTTGCAGATTGAATAAAACTGGGTGTGGGACTGAAAGGTGGGTTGACATCAAGTGTGACTGAATTGTCAATATAGGATATATATTTCAAATTTTTCCCAAATTGTCCACTGACTGTTCCTAAACTTCAAGAACCCAAAACATCGAAGAGTATTTTCAGAGTCATACCATTTAAAATGTAATTGCCCCACAAATGCACCTATTTTAGATTTATTTTAAACTTGTTACTAAGTCTGTAGGAGCAAATATCATATCTATCACCCTGGCCTCAAAATTTAACTAACATAGAGAGGGGTGCATTTAGACTTTGATATAAGTAATTTGTACAACCAGGGCAATTACCCAAGATAAAACCGGAATATTGCCTAGTATCAAATTTAGTCAGTATCCTTCACCAGGTAAACATAAAGCATTCTTCTTTCATTTAACATGATAACTTCTGCAGTCTATTAACAAAAAATTGACTGATCTTTTCATGAACATGATTTCAAACTATAAGATTGCTATTACAATTCAAAAGCTATTAGAGGAGGAAACCAAGTATTAGAAAGGTTAAGTAGCTTTCCCAAGAATATAACAAAGTAGTGAAATTCAGTAATAAATCAAAAGCCACCATATGCTAAAGCATAAATAAAGAACCCACAAAACAGAAAGTAACACACAAACTTGCTCAATTCACTCAGGTGTTAATAAGACTTATAAATTTGATTTCTGTTAAAAGATGTAAACTACTCTGTACAAGGAAGTGAAGGGTGAGTAAGACTGAGTTTCTTGAAGGCACAGACAAGTATGAATAGAGCGCACACCACTAAAATCCACTGTGCTAAAGGCAGTGACAGGGGAGTAGTGCCGTACTAGGAAAGATAATAAGAGGAACCTGGGAGACTTCTTCCAGGAGGTGAGATTATAGAGAGGTGACAATCTCAGCAGAGTTCTCCAGAACAAGTTTAAGCTTGACACAAGAACAGGAAAAGTCACTCCAGAGAGCACCAGCAAGAGCAAGAAATGGTAAGGGAACATAACTTGCAAGGTCAAGTGCAAAAATGAGACTAGATGCACAAAGAGTGTCACTGTATGTGAATTCAATAGCTTGATTTTTTCCCTAGATATTGAGACTTTTAAATAATTTTGAGCAGGGGAATGACAGTTCAGAAGTGCACTTTAGAAACATTAATCTGATAGAAGTTTGAAGAATAAACAAGGTATGTGGTGAGAAGAGCAGTGAAACTGATTATTGGGGTCCTAGAGAGAGATGAAACTATATTCCTTTACTATAAAAATTTTGAAGAAATCAAATAAAAGTTGCTTCCACTGGTACCAAAAACATGAGAAACACTGAAAGAATCAGAATGGAAATGAGAGAGAAAAGATGAGTACTGAAAGAACAGGTCAAATAAAACATTTCATTTACCTTTGATCATCTGAGTCAGATGATCACTTATCCCTTTAAGTACCAATATTAACTTCTGGTAATTTGATGAAAAAAATTTAAAAGTATCCTTTTTTCTTAATTAAAGTACAGGTAGGTAGTCTGAACAT